CAAGCCCACCCCAGATGCGAACTGCAATATTAGGTTGTGACTTAGACTTCTGACCTATGCGCTATAAATTAGGGCTTCTACTACCCTTTCTCTGATTTGACTAATTTGTGAGAGCAGCTCATAGAGCTCAGGAAAGAACAAACATTTGCTGGCTCCTTATAGAGGACATTACAAAGAACACTGATGAACATTCGGTAGAGACAAGCCCAGAGCCCAGGCTTGGGGAAAGGTGCAAGGATTCCATCTTCCATGGCCTGTCTGTGCCTCCTGGGAGCCTCCACCTCTCTGCCTACCTGGAAGCTCTCCACAGCCAGCCCACTGTGGTGGCTCAGGGAGGTCTCATGGGATGGCCACATTTGATTAAATCATGGGTTAGCTTGACCTGAGCTCTTCTCCCTGCTCTGCAGGTTAGGAGATGGCATGAAAGTCCCATCCTTATAATCACCCTTGGTCCCACTGTGACCAGCCCAACCTGAAGCTCTCAACACAGCAGCACACGAAATGACACTTACTTGGAAGAGTCCAGGGATCTTAGGACTTGTGTGTCAGAAACATGTACGAGACTAAATATGTGCTCCATGCTAAGACTTCTCAGCCACTCTAGGGGGAAGCCATCGCCCAGTGTCCTCTCTCCACAGCTTCCTTCCTACCAGAGGATGGAAGTCATCTGTGCCCAGAGAAGAGCTCAGCTTGCTCAGCCCCTGGGCAAAAGGTGCCAATGCCAAGCAAGCAGCAGCGGGCAGGGGATGCTAGCACCCATCTCCAAGGAGGCTGGTTCAGCTGGAACAGGACTTTCGGCCCTCCCTCCCTCTCTTGCTCCTTCCTTCCCAGAACCTAGTTCTCAGAGCCGCTGCAGCCACCCTGCAGCCAGAGAGCTGGGCAGGGAGCCCCGCTGGCTGTGAGGGGAGGGAAGGCTGGCGAAGGAGATGTCCGGGCTGGAGTCACTGTTCAGCTGAGCTGCCTGGAGTATGTGTCTCTAGAATGCTTTTTAAGGAAAAGGAAAAAAGTACTCCAATGACTGTTTTAGTGAAAGGAAAAAATGCTCTGACACTCTTGTTGCTAGCGCTGGACGTCAGCACCAACTGACCCGGGACCTGGGAATAGGGCTGATGGGGAAGGGTTGTTTCCTTCTCCGTAATGATGGGGCCCTGCAAAGATCACTAAAGGCCCTTTCATCTCGGAAACACTACAATTCTAAGACTCAGTGTGAATGCAAAGAAAGTGTCCAAGGCTTCCTATGCGGTCTTCCATCTTGGGAGAAATCTGAGAGCGTGTGAACCCTCAGGCAGGAGGTGACCGACCATGCACACAGCTGCGTGCAGCTCAGCCGTTGCACCCCTAGGCGCATACATGTAGACGGGAGACCCGCATGCGTGCAGAAACTTCATACAGGGACCTTCGGGGCAGCACTGTGCTCTGCAGCCAAGGGAAGGGGCAACCCAGCCCCCACCCTCGGACAAGCAGGCAGGTGAAATCTCTGCCATACAGTGGTGTGATTGTCACCATTGGAAGGATGGAGGACCAATGCCTGCTCCAACGTAGGTGGCCCTTGAAGACATTAAGCTACCAGCAAATGAGCCAGACGCAAGAGACCACAGACAGCGTGACTCCAACGGGATGAACTCAGAAGCAGAAGGACCGTGGTTGCTGGCGATGGCCTGGGAGAGAAGACAGTGAGGAAGTGCTTGCCTGCAGGATGGGGCTTCCTGCTTAGGGCACAAAAACGTCACGGCACTGGTGCCACAGCTCTGTGAAGGCAGTAAAGCACCTGACCTGCATTCTTTCAAATGGAGAATTTTGGTGGTACGTGACTTGTATTTCATTTTCAAAGAAAAAGTAGAAATGGCAATGAGACATTTTCAGGGGAAGCAACTGCACCAAAATAAGTTTTGTTATTTTGGGGAGAAGCAAGAGCTGGATAGTGTGGGGGGATTAAGAAGCAAGGTTCTTGTGTGTCTGTTTTCAAGGGTCGGCTTTGAGGCACACTGAGATCATGACCTCACAGGAGGACTCTTGGTACACACCAGAAGAAAATCGACATTACAGGACGTGCTGCCAGCCACATCTGGGATGCAAGTCTCATCTCAGCTACGATACGGAAGCGTGAGTGTGGCACACCAGCTTGCACTCACTTCCCGCTCGCTTTCACAATGGTAACTGCCCCGGCAGGCTGTTTCTCCTGCTTCCACAGCTGTATCATGCCAGGTGCGTGTGTGTGTGCAGTATTCGCTCCTGAGCATTCAGTGGCATCCTATAGTGACCGCACTAAAGACGGAAGTCTTGATGCTGTTTGAGCTCAACTCACTTACAAAAGCTGAGTGTGGACCCAGACACGTGTTTCAATATTCCCTCGAAGCCAGGAAATCCATCCTTCCCTGACTCATGATTGCCGTGTGGCTTTGGATCTGATAGGGTCTACACAGCCTAAGAAAGAGCTCTGCTTCTAAGAGCAGGATTGTCTAAAGGGTTTTGGAGTTTTCGAGGTCTCTGAGCCCCCGCTTCCTTACATATAAGCAGGTAACGAACGGCTTCTCAAGGTCACTTTTACTTCAGGTTAATCCAACACTTTTACTGACAAAATGGAAAACTGAACAGTCTCAGATCATCTCCTGAGCTAAGATAGAGGTGTCCACCAATTTCAAGCCCACATTGGGATTATAGCTCTTTGTGAGACTCCGAGGGTGACTGCTAGGTGCCCACCCGCTCCTCTTCCAGAACTCAAATCTCTGAATCCTCCAGTGGGACTTGCAGTCCTGGTTGTTTGCCCGGAAGTGACAGTTCTCTTCTGGACACATCAGGCAGGGACAGGACACGGGTGGGGTGTGTGAGAGCACACACTACCACCACCACCACCAAGGCCCAGCCCACAGTGGCATGTGGAAGAGAGCTGGTGTTTCTAGGCGCCTGGGCACACGCCTCACTTTGAACGCGCTTCTCATATGCATTTACGCCTGTGCTGCAATAGGTCCCAGGGCATCTGTTTGAATGGTCAGTTTGGCACCCGCTGCTCTAATCCTGCCAAAATAAGCTCTGGCAGTGTGCTGAGGCCAGCAGGCAGGCTGGCTGGCACCTGCCCGTCCTCGCACAAGGTGGGAGGGAGAAGCATGCTACTAGTATGCCAGGAGGCACTTGGCTGCAGCTTCTTGCTCCCCTGAGGTCTGACAGGCTACAGGCAAGCCCCAGCCCAGGACAGAGCAGGGCCCTGGGCAGCTGTCCCGATGCTCGAGGCGTTTACAACCGGTCACCTTTCAGCAAAGCATTTGGAAGCTTTACACCAGCTCGGCAAGCACTGCACCTGCCAGGTCGCTACTGAACACAGAGAGCTGGGGCTGCGGTCGCCCATCTCCCTCTCCAGACAAGGTCTCGTAATTCGCTCGCGAAGGGCACAGGCAGCTCGTGCCACTGACAGAGCCAGATGGCAGAGCCAACGCAACTCCATGCTGTTTAGACGGATTCGGCTCACACTTCTCTTGGAACTGTTTCCAAATACATTTCAGCCTCTTTTAAAATGAAAACCTTTCATCTACAGTCATCTTTCTTTCAAGCAGCAAAGTCATGTAGGAGAAAATAAATGTAAAGTTGGATTTATAAGTAATAATTTTTTAAAATTTTGAATTTGTATAAATACTAGAAAAATCTTAAACGTTTTTTTTTTTTTGATGATCCCTTTGTTCTTATACGGGTATATAAGTATGGTTTGTACATTTATTACTGGCATTTCTTTTTTTTTTTTTTACATTTTTCTTTTTATAAGAACTGGTTCAGATTAAAGCAGAGTACTACCATTATCTTGACAAAAATAATTCTTACCATACAAGCATGTTAAGTGAAAATTCAAGGATTCCTTACAGTCCCGTATTTTCTTAGTGGTTGTGTTCAGCTCTGAATTTGTAATTCTGCAGTAACTCAAATGAGGTTAACTTAAGCACAAAGTTTGTAACATGTTATAGGCGCGACTCTGGGGGGAAGTTCATAGAAACAAAACCTACTAACCGTTTATAACTCTATCTCTGTTCCTAACTACAGGAGATTTCACTGACTTAAAAGGCACAGAACACAACCCCGGGCAGAATCCCATTTGCAGAATTCATGACACAGCTCTGCTCCTGTGCACAGAACGACCCACGTGGCAACATAAGAAAACATCTAAACAACCTAAATGTCCTTTGGCGGGGAACTGGCTAAATAAAATGGAAGACCCACGTAACAGATGCTGTGTGTCCACGTGAAGAGGGAGCTGCTTCTCCAACGTACACTGCTGGGCTGGTGTGCAGCTCCTCAGCAGAGATGTGCAAGGCCTGCGTGCTCTCACACGCTCACACCCACACGCTACGCCCAGCTGGGTGAAGACAGGTGCAGAGCAGTGTGAGGGGAAGAGAGATGAGGAGTAAGTTAGAAAAAATTAAAAATGTATACAGTGTCTCTGTAAGGGTGTAAGAAAGAGAATACGGACATGAGGGACACTCTCAAGGAACACAAGGGAAGCTGGAGTGGTGTGCTGTGTGCATGTAGGAATGATTCAAAAATGTGTAGCTGGATTTGGGGGTGCATAGGCAACCCCAGAACTGTGGGATGGGAGTTGAGAGAGAACAGGACAGCCACACAATGATTCGTTGGCTCTAAACAGTTCTTTTAAAGGGGCCGACAGATACAGCTCAGCTTCACCCCGCATTTAATCCGTTACTAAAAAACCCCAGAACTATCCTCCGCACAAGATTTCCATACATATTTAGTGTGCTTTTAAGTAGGTTCTTTCAACTAATAAAATATGTACTTACACCCAGTTTAAAGTTCAGGTCGCTCCCCCTATTCAATTTACTGTCCCTGGTTTAATGTTCACCACACCCAAGAAGGAGCTTAATCTCCCTCCTTCCCCTTTCTAAAGGGAAGAAATGTAACACCATGTGTTCACAAAGCTACACTCCAGTGGATAAGAACTGAATCAAGAGGAAAAGGTAGAGAAAGAAAAGAGGACACCATTAAGACACAAACGTTTATGTGACTTTAGCCATTACAACAGTAGTTCAGAAGTATCTCAAATGTTACATCAATGTTACAAAAGAGAAAACAAAGTGACAGGCAACAGTGAAGGGCACCAAGACCGGCGCACACACCCACGGCAGACCATGCTTGCTCCTTCAAAGCCAGGGATTCACAGCGAGCCCCCCACCCCCGCCTCCTTCTTGGCTTTCCCTAACCTGGTGTGGAGGCTCAGGCCTCGTCCTCGCCCTCCTCCTCCTCGAACTCCCCCTGTTCGTCGGCCGTGGCGTCCTGGTACTGCTGGTACTCGGACACCAGGTCGTTCATGTTGCTCTCGGCCTCGGTGAACTCCATCTCGTCCATGCCCTCGCCCGTGTACCAGTGCAGGAAGGCCTTGCGCCGGAACATGGCCGTGAACTGCTCCGAGATGCGCTTGAACAGCTCCTGGATGGCCGTGCTGTTGCCGATGAAGGTGGCTGACATCTTGAGGCC